ATAAAAGTAAACTAATAAAGTTTGTAGTTTTATGTAAAACGGTTATTTTTTTTTACTTTTCACAAATTTTATCAAAATATTTATTAAATTGTATTTATTTAAATGTAATTATTTTATTATAGAAATATATAAAGATATTACTTGATGAAACATTTTTGTCCATTGTCAATTGTACATATAATATGCACTTGTGCAATTTAAAAAAATGTGATTTTTTTTCATCAAAATGAACAGAGCGCCTCAGTCATTTCCATATTCAAGAACTTTCAAAATAATACTACACTGACCACAAAAATTTATACAACAAACAGCCCGCCGCCGTGACAATGATCAAAGAAAAGAGATAAGTACAGTAGAGACGTGCTATTTCTTTCGAATAATCTAAGAGTGCGAAAAGTGACGAGTACTCGTTAATACTCGTGTTTTTCCCACTTCTATGAAATAGAATACCTCTAATATATCTTCGTTAAATGTTTTATTGCAAATCGCCATAAACGCGAGCAATCTGTTGTATATATTAATGACCGATCATCATAAGTTCATACGTCATCAACATTAACATGCAATCAGATAATTAATACAGAATATAATAATTATCTTCGGAATATTATGTCTCTAATAGTGCAGATCAAACAATGGCACAATATCCTTTTATACGCATCCCTTGACAATCTATGTAGCGATGATAATGACAAAGTATCGATGAAATCTATCAAATTAAAAAGGATCGAATGGAGGAAGAGAGATAAAATTGAACAGAACGATCATGCGTTCGCTAGAAAACCATCAAATTGCGATCAACCTACTTCACAGCTCTTGTTGGCAAAAGGCAGTGCTCGTCTTGTACATACATATTTGGATTTCTCCGTTTTTTTTCTTTTTTTATGTATAAGAGTAGAATATACATTAAATTAGCTTTGAAATAGGTTGCATTCAATATCATTATTATTGTATAATACATATGCTGCGACACATTTCAATGGTGGTACGCTAAAGAAATAAAAAAGCTGTACATCGCTTTACAGCGTATCGACTTTACAATTTTTATAAACGTCCGTAAACGTTGCAATTCCCATAAAACGTCCCTATACTGCTACATGAATAAGACGAATCCTCAAACAAATGTGTCAAAATCAATAATTTGGTTTACTTTTTCCATCTCATCTTGGAAAAAGTTATATTTTCCTCATTTTACTATTTTAATTTCGCATATCCTTTTGTCGTATCACCAGAAATATACGCAGTTACCCTCAATGTACACCTACTGTATTATTGCTATTTAGCGCGATAGGTTAACTTACAATCTAAGATTTGTACATCTGTGGATTTGCTGTTTATATATGGATGCCTATAAAGAGAGATAAAGAGTATGTCTCAAACGTACCAAACATGCGAATCAAGAATAAAAATTCCATTGAATAAAGTTTACATATCATAAAGCTTTAGTGATAAAAATCAATTTTAATAAATGTTGCGATAAATTATTTTTAGTGTCCGGGAAACTAGGTGAGACAAATCTTCCTAACTGCTTCTTCGTTTTAATTTTTGTTTTATACATCACTACACGTTCTAATTTTAATTGAGCCTCCAGTTTATTGTTACAGTTGCAATGTACATGTAACTCGTATAAAAGTACAAGATATCAAAACGCAATAAAATGATAAAAGAACGATAGTAAATATCTAATTTAACGCGTACGCAAACATGTCGATTTTCGAGATCCGTGATAAAATCGTTTCCGTATACATGCAAAATAATCAGCCTTTCGCAGCGTATGATTGATGTGCAATAATGTGAAGTAGTGATGAGCGGTATTTTCATACCTGTTATTTTATAACTGTTATCGAAAGGTCACTGTTGTTACTGGTTATCAATTTTCTCTAATACCAGTTATTTTATAACTTTGTACGTATTTTATTCGTCGTTTCGAAGCGTAATCTAAAAGAATGTTTTTAGGAATTCCCTATCCGATAGCCAATCGGCACATTCAACAAATTTATGACAGACATAATGGTTTGTTCGCGTCGCATGTTCCAATATGCTCTGATCTATAGTTTATATATATATGCATTATAAAGAAACTAGCTAATTATGCTTTTAACATATAGAATGTAATAATGTGACGTCTTTTATATCAAAGATAATAAGTTAGTTTCTCTATGCATATGCATTATATTATTCTGCAAATTTATCTTAATAGATCGTATCAAATAACCGTTTAAATGATCAGTTATTTGTGGGTAACGATAACCGTCGTAACCGTTATAAAAAAATAACTATTTAGCTCATCACTAATGTGAAAATATTTTATGTGGAAAGATATAAATATATAAATCGAGATACATCTGTACATTGTAAGCTGCAATCGACATCACTAAAGTGATGTACGTTATCGAGTAAGAAAATGTTTGCCGATAAAGATGGCGTATAAAATGTACATCAGTCAATGTCTCGCGAAGAAGCGCAGTTAGGTCTCTCTTGTGATGAGATTGGGTCCTTTTTTTATTTAACAATGCACGTGGCATCGTATGATGGCAATCTCATTTTAATAATTAAGATTCGCGATTGCCACACGAAGTTTCTATCTATCTTCAGCTGGGCTTGCCCGGTGGACCGTGGCTAGTCGGCGACGGTCCGTGCGAATGAAGATTGTGAACACCGCCTACTTGATTGCCAGTGAGGCTGGACATGGTGGGTTGATACATCGACGGCATGTAACTGCTCGACGACTGCGACGCCGATCTGACGAACGATATATTAAATGAAAAAAAATAACGAATCAAAGTGAGACGCGTGAGAAATATCGTTTACTCACCTCGGCACTCCACGTAGCGGATCCGGCGTGACGGACGAATTTCGCACCACTCCAGAAGTGTTTGCTGGTGCCGGCGATACTATGTTGCTAGATTGACCTTGAAGATATCCGCCTCCGGCTGGACTGTGTCTGGCAATTAATTCACAAAAATAAAAAAATAGAATCAAATAATATAATTGATATTAATTGTAATATCCGGTACAAGATAGATTTATTACCTTAT